TTTTTTTTTTTTTTTTTTTTTTTTTTTTTTTTTGCTGTAATAAGCGGAGTTCAGCGTTTTAGTTTTGTGTGTGTTTGTGTGTCTGTGTGTATGTGTAAGTGTGTGAGTGTGTGTCTGTTGTAAAATTCCAAGAATTAGCTGTTTGGTATTTCCATCGCAAAGTGTAAAAAGACTATGGAGGAACCTTACCACTATAGCACTCGAGACACACAGGGCAAAAGACAAAAATATCGGCAGCAGCCCGCTTCGTTCGAGGGAGGTTGGCGAAATAAACGAAATCTTTTTTTCTTAGACAGCCACCGTTATATCCCAACCAGTGTAACGGTATGTTTGTGTATGTGTGTATTGAGGAAACGCAGATACCGGTATTGGTTGCCTGGACTGAGTGAATAAATGAGTGGCTGACTGACTGACTGATTAGACTAGCAAAGCCCGTTCCGCTTTGCCTGTTATACCACAGGAACAATTGGCATTAACAGTGCTGCGTAGGAGGAGGCTTCAATGGTAGCGGAACCTTAGCTTCAAAGTGATGACGATGATGAGAAGCTGCTTTACAGTCAACAACAACAAGAACAGAAACAGCAGCAGCCAAGAGAGCTGTTGTTTCTAAGAATGAAGCAGAAAAAACTTCCCGTTTTTTTTTTCTACAAAATTGTTTCGTCTTCTCCAAACTTTTTTTATGTTGTCTGTTGTTAGTTCGGCGAAAGAAGGCGAATAAAAAAAACGTTTTTTCCTCGTAATTGAACTATTGTGCATTTTTCAAATATTGCATTTCTGGACCCGTTGCACTTACGACAAAAGAAAAGGGTGGAGACACAAATTCAATGTACCTGATGTTGATCATGATACCTAAGCTCTAGAACTGTGGTTTTTCATACAGTAAAAAATTGTTGAAGAAGATATTAAGAATGCTGTTCAATACGATTAGAGTTGTTTTCCCTCTTTTCTTTTCTAAATTGTTTGCATAATTACCATTAGTCTGCTGGAATTCACTGAAAAATTGTTGAAAATCAAAGCTTTCCAGTGCTTTTTGAAAGATCAGTTTTCTAAGATGTGAGGTAATAGTTATAATTGAAATTCAGCTGGGTGGAGGAGGTTCCTCCCCATTCTTTTGGCATCATCTTGAGCGTCTGGTATCAAAAATCAAAATCATTGTTAACATTACCAGTTTCATTTTCTATAATTGATTTTTTGAACGGAGAGCTATTTTAGGCTGGCTTTGCTGGTGACGATGCCCCACGTGCAGTGTTCCCGTCCATTGTCGGTCGCCCAAGACATCAGGGCGTTATGGTTGGTATGGGTCAAAAAGATTCGTACGTTGGTGATGAGGCACAGTCAAAAAGAGGTAATTAAATATTTGATACATTTTTTTAATTAAAAAAGCTTTTTAACATAATTTTCTTGAAAATAAATAGTGACCATAATTGATATTATAGAAGCTTTATAGAGAGCGTTATGATACATATAAGAGAACTTGCTTTTTTGAAAGAAGTATGTCATTCTAGTTTTGCTCTACTTACAGGTATTCTTACTTTGAAATACCCGATTGAGCACGGTATCGTAACCAACTGGGATGATATGGAAAAGATCTGGCACCACACCTTCTACAATGAGTTGAGAGTTGCCCCTGAGGAGCATCCCGTTCTGCTCACAGAAGCTCCTCTTAACCCCAAAGCGAACAGAGAAAAGATGACTCAAATCATGTTTGAAACCTTTAACACCCCAGCTATGTATGTTGCCATCCAAGCCGTGCTTTCCCTTTATGCATCTGGTCGTACCACTGGTGTTGTTCTTGACTCTGGTGATGGTGTCACCCACACGGTACCCATCTACGAAGGGTATGCTCTACCCCATGCTATCCTTCGTCTGGATCTGGCTGGTCGTGACTTGACTGATTACTTGATGAAGATCCTTACTGAGCGTGGTTACTCATTCACAACCACGGCTGAACGTGAAATAGTTCGTGACATCAAGGAAAAGCTTTGCTATGTTGCACTTGACTTTGAACAAGAGATGGCTACTGCGGCCTCATCATCATCACTTGAAAAGTCATATGAATTGCCTGATGGACAAGTCATCACCGTTGGTAATGAACGTTTCCGATGTCCCGAGGCACTCTTCCAGGTACTGATCTGAAATTTCTTCTTTTTTTGTGTAGTTGATTTTTCAAGTAACGAGTCAAAGATATTAGTTGGTTCCTCAGTTTAATTCTTATTAAAACCGCTTTATTGTATGTCGATTCTTTGAGCTACAATTTAACGATCTAGCTTACCCTGTCGAGTTGATTCCTTGGTTTATAGAGTTTTAAATAATTCGTTTATGGATAATAAATTATTGCGCTGCTGGAAAACGTTGGAAAAAATCTTGAATTTCAGCCGTCCTTCATTGGTATGGAATCTGCTGGTATTCACGAAACCTCATACAACAGTATCATGAAGTGTGATATTGATATTCGTAAGGATCTGTACGCCAACACTGTCCTTTCTGGTGGTTCAACCATGTATCCTGGTATTGCTGATCGTATGCAAAAGGAAATCACTGCTCTTGCTCCTAGGTAAATGAAGCATCTTTTTTATCGTGAATGATTTTTATTTGGAAAGAGGTTCGAAAAGGGACTTCTGAATTATATGTCTAAGGCTTACATTGTATTCAGCACGATGAAAATCAAGATTATTGCTCCTCCGGAGCGCAAATACTCTGTCTGGATCGGTGGTTCCATCTTGGCTTCTCTATCTACCTTCCAGCAGATGTGGATCTCAAAGCAGGTATGTGCTGACGTTTAGTATATTTCGAATAAGTTTAATCTGTATTTTAAATGAAAAATTTTTATTTAGTTACGAGAGTTCTATGCAAATTTATTTAGGAGTACGATGAATCTGGACCATCAATTGTTCACCGCAAATGCTTCTAAACGGATCCACACCAAAACACACACACAAAAAAAAAAGCAAAACAACTGGCTTTTCCAAACTGTTTGCTGTTCAAGTGTTGTATTTACAAATTTATTGCAATCATTTTTGTGAAATGATAATAATTTTAAAAATCTTTTTTCTTTTTGCAAAGATCAGCCCAAAGAGGAAGCTGAAGCTTCTGGACACTAGCCAGTTTATCGTTGAGAAAAAAATGAAAAGTCGCTTGTCATATTGTGAAAGACAGAAGTTTAATGTATTAAGTTCAAAGTCAAGGAAAGTTTAAAAACTTTCCGTTTGTAAGCAGTAATCTCGCTTGAACATTTCTGTATAACTTTTTTCGTTACTTTGTCGTTTATGATTTAACCGTCAAGTCTTTGGGTCTGATAAGTTTCCAATAAAGCAGTAAGCAGTTTTAGTTTTCTTCAAGCAAATTATGGCAGTCACCCACCTCAGAAAACTACTTTCCTGTCATTCGATTCTTATTTTTAAAAAAGAAAGGGATGGTTTTTTTTTTCACCATGATCTTCCAAAATATCTTTTCTATTTCCTTCCCAAACACCCTAGTGATTGTCATTCAGACAATTGCTGAATAGTTTTTAAGGTTAACGCTTTAGAATATTATTGGCAATAAGTAATTAAGGTAAAAAAGAAAGACTCATCTAGAAGCAGTGCAAAGTTTAAATGGAAAAAAGAGTAATTCATGACTTTTTTTTGCGAACCTGGTCACTTTCCGAGTTGTTATTGTGGGGTCTGAAACGTACATTTTGATGTATATTGAAAAGCTGCTACCCAGTCATCTATTTATCTGGTATCTGTTTGGCTATTTTATTTTTTAGATTATTTGAATTTATCTACAGAACCTTTCTTCTCTGCAACATTCGTCCTCCTCCCACTGTAAGCAAAGTAGCAGTCCCGCAAAAAAAGTGGCACTTGAAAAGGTCGATAACAGTTAAAGAAAGATAATGAACACTTTTTGATATAACAAGGTCTTCCCGCCGTCAAAAGTTACGTTGCGGCTCTCTTTTGGCAGATAGTTTATTTCAACATATAAGTATGCGTGAGCTAAAGTATTGTTTTTTCCGTCCTTCTGATTTTGTTGTTACATTTGTTTCTGTTGTCGCATATTGCGCTTCTAGCAGTAGTTATAACTTCCTCACTTCAGCTTATTCAACTTGCACAAATTTCACACAATTGACTTCCTATTGCGTACTGCTGGGTGCTGTATTCGTTGTTGGTGTTTGACCGCAGACTGTCTTTCTGGCTTCTACCGCTGTGTATCGACGCTGAAGGCGTTCCGCCAACAAAAATATGCGTTGTTTTCAAAGCAAGAATACTACTTGTTGTTCCCTTTCAGTCCAACGTTTTAGAATTCTCTACTGGTTTTTCTTGCTTTTTCATCCAGCTGTATTTTCGCAATATTATCGCTAGCGGCAAAAAAAACAACAACGATTCTACAGTATTTAACTTTAAGGAAAGAGATCGTCAAGATAAGCTAGGCGAAAAGAGTTAATGCTTTAAAAATCATGTACTGCTCCTTTTACTTGATACAAAAAAACTTAGGTTGTTTGGATAAGAGATAAAAAAGAGCTACAAAGAAAAGAGTTAAGGCAACAGCAAAATAACAATGGTAATAGTAAAAGTTTTGTAGCAACAGTAGTAATTAAAAAGGAGTTGGCTTCATTGATGAAAAGAACGTGAAAAACTGCCCAGACATCAAATGTTTTTTACAGAACGTAAACGTACAATTACGGTAAGCAATCTGAAACAGTGCTGGTATTTTCTGGTGACAGTGGGACATACGTCTTTTCCTCCGGTTTTTCTCTTCGTCATTGTTAATCTTGAGGTTTTTAACAGTTTCTGTAGGAAGTTACCGTTCAATTCATTTTAATACAATATGTGCCATATTTTGTTGCTAAAATAAGCATATGCACAAATAAGTGTCACTATATACTATTTTAATAAAACTGATGAAGCATAGTTATGGATCTACGAATATTTTTGAGGAGTCACGGGCCTCTAAGGAGAGAAGGTGGAATAGAGGGATGGGAGATGGGTTGGGAGAGGGGAGGAGAGGAGCAGAGTGGTGAGGCAAATTGTGGGTACGGCAAGACAAACTCTGGAGGTGTGGGTGGGTAATTATGAGAGGACTAGAAGAATGTAACAAAAGTAAATTGCTAAAATTTTCCGGATTTATAGTGATAACTGGAAAAGAGCACTCAAAAATTTGCTTACCGCTGAAACAGAAACAGCAGCAGCAGAGTGATGGATGATTAAAATCTGAGTTTTTTCAACCAAAGATTCTTCCAGCAATTTTTACGGAGATGAAGATGTTTAACGGGAGATGAGTAATATTTTTAGACAACAGTTTGCTAGTAGACGAAAAAATGAAAATATATTTTAAATTTAGTTCAAGTGGTAATAATAACTGATGAGAAGTCTAGTTTTATGTATCCTTCTTCTTTTCGCGACGATCGATATATGTGTTGTGTGTTTTTGTGTGTGTGTTTGTGATAGTTTGCTTGCTTAGTTAAACAGTATAAACACACATATACACGTACACATTTAACCGGTCTCGGTGAATGCTTTGAATTCTTGAAGACTTTTATGAGGAATCAAAACTTTTAGGTGTTCCTACTTCTGCTCCTGGTTCTGCTACTGTCGTTGGTTGTAAAACAGTAAGCGAGAAAATTGAAAAGCTTATCTGGCATTTATTTATGATTATTGTTGTTACTAATGAATAGTTATTTAAGAAAAGGGTTTTCAATGTTCAACTGGTTAGTTACATTAATGAAAGTCAATACTACCTCAAATTTGCTAATGTTTGCTAATCGTATTGCTAGCAACGTTAGTGTCTCTTTTGAAAAAAAAAATGAGAAAAGTGGAGAAAAAACGACTGTTGTGTTGTTTCGCGATGACTGTCTCAATAGGATCGGAAAAGGATCACTGTCACCCAAAATAATATTTGCAGCTACTTACACCCTCCAATTCCTACGAAAAAAAAAATCAGTTTTTTGTTTTACTTTACTTTTTGTTCATCTGATTGATTATCAAACTGTTTTTATGTTATAGCCAAATTCAAAATTCTAAATCAGCTTCTTGTGGTCGATGCTGCAGATGCTAAAAAAAACTAAGTGCGTTCTAGTCATTCACTTATAACAGTGGCAAAGGTAACAGGAGAAACGGCAGCGAAAGTAGCAGCAGTAGCAACTGCCGCTGTTACCCCAGAAGTGGATGCCAACAGTAAGATAATGGCTACTTGATGCGAATAATACATAGAAACAACGCATCAATTAATATATCAATTAATACTGTTAAACAAGTGAATATAGCAAAGATGCAATAGTGATATTTGTAAGACTAACTATTATGATATGCTTGAACAAGTAAGTCACTGTTAAGGTAAAGTAGAGTCACAACAAAAGAAAGGTGTCTTTTGATTGTGAGAATTAAAAGTAGTAATGAAGCAAAAAGTTCAAATTTATCTATTTATTTAGCTTTTTTTTCAAACTATAATCAGACAAACCACTTTTACTTAAATGAAGTAGTGCATGTCAAGACAGAAAAATTTGCTCTGTTGCTGTTCGCGACTGTCGCATAATGAAAGCAGGACGAAGTTTGTTTTACCTCTTATACAAAACTGATATAATCAGAAAGCTGCAGATTCACGTAAGAAATGAATGCATAAATTAACCACTGCATCAGTGGTCAATCAATCAATGCCCGTAATTTGCGGCTGTTG